GCCAATCTCAAGGGGCGGCTGGGCATATATGGATGCAAGCGCTCCTTCAGGTAATTTAACTGTTATTTTAAAAACTAATTTAAATTTTAATGTTTAACAGTCGCTTTAACTTATTTAATTTGAATTTGTTGGTTAATTGTTATTTATTGCTGTTTTATTGTGGTTGTTTTAATGATTGTAAGACATCCTGAGATGCCATGCATAAGGAACGGTATACAAAAGTTATAAATAAATAAAAAATAAATATTCATCCTGTGACAGCAGATCTGGTGGTTAGAGTGCTGGACTGGGGAACATGGGAGATCTGGGTTCTAGGGGGGGAATATTCAGGGGTAAAATTGCTTACACAGCACCCAGAGCTTAAATCTTAAAGAGTCAGCAGTAAATTTATGATCAAAACAAGAGACGAAGAATTAAACGCCTGCCGGAAGACAAGGGTTTTGATCTGGCATCTAAATAGATATAGCGAAGGCTGTATAAATACAGTCATTCCCGGACTATACCTATTTCAGGAAGCACTTGAGGCACCTAGTTCCATCTTTAAATGGCATCCTACCATCTCATCCCATATATTCAAAGCATCGGCAGAAAGGGCACACTAGAATTGTTCTCAGAGGTGTCCTAGCTTTGGGCCGAGAACAAATTCATTGCTTCTACATACAGCAGGATATTCTGTTGTATGATCTGCCCCCCATCCCACATCCAAGGATCCTGCTTCACCTTTCTTTAATGACTCGGATCCATTTCTTGGACTCTTTCGCAAGATCCCGGAACTGGTCGTTGGTGACGATGACGCCGTTCGTTTGTTCTGCTAGCCTGAGCATGATTCTTTGGGAGGTGAAGCGAGAAGAGGGAGGGAGACATGGAAAGAAAGAGCAACGGCAGATTTTAAATAGGAGATTAGTCCTCTCTATTCAGTGGTTGCCCACAGAAGCTTGGCATGTCGCCCAGGGTCTGGGGGCAGATGCTCCGTTTAGCCTTGGAACTTTTCAAAGCCTCTTTGGACCATGCCCTCAAACTGGGCATGGCACCCAGGAAGCCCCCCCCCCATCTCTCCTTTACATTACAGGGGAGGGCCAGTTGTCTTCTGGGGGACCCTATCCACCATTAGTATCATCTCCCCACTGAGAAAGCCAGGATCCATCCCAAAAGGACCCCTGGGGCACAAGACCCACTGCGACAACTTCCCGTATTGATATCCACCCCGAGGCAGTACACAAACAGGTTATGACATGTTGGCCTCTGGCAGAAGAGACAGGTCCAAGCCACTGCTTTGCCACAACACGTACTGCAGTTTTCCCAAGACTGGTGCCTTCCAAAAGATGATACTTCCGGTATCACCCAGGGGAACACTGAGCCAGTGATGCTACTGACCCCTTCACACATCACACTTCACAGTTGTGAGGAAGAAAATCAGCAGGGTGTAACATGAGTCTGTGTTAACAAGTGTGGCGACTGAGCTGCAGAACACTTTCCTCTCGTTCTGCCTCAGTGACCACAGGCAACTTCGGTTCCTTTGTCTGGGACTCGCCCCTTCTGCATCTGTCCGTCGCTGTGACTAAAAGATCACACTGGCAACTCCCCCCACCCCACCCCGCCCCACACCAGCCCTGTCCCCATGGCGCACAGAGTCATTTCCTGCTTCAGGGCACTTGTGACCTCATCAGCGCACTGAGGTATCCGGTGTCTTGCAATCTGGAAAGCCCAGCCTGGGGAAACCCGAGGGGATGGCCCAAGATCAGCGCGAAGGAATAAATAGAAGCAACGCTTCCCAGCTTGTGTGAAATGATCTGAAACCTTTACAAACAGTCAAGGAAATCTTTCCCCTTTCTAAGCATCCCTGATCTGTAGAGATGTAGGTGTTGATCTATCTCTCATACACCCTGGCCATTTAAGTGGGCGGACTCTTTTGATAACGACAGATAAATGACTCCACCCGAGCGGCCATTTTGAATCTGGTTCTCTCCTGAAAGGCTCAGTGCCCATAAACATTGGAGCTCAGTAGATTATGAGCCTCCTATGAAAGAGGGAGAAGCCCGGAGGTTTCCCACCCATTCTGCAGTTAAGCAAGAGATTGATTGTAGGTGTCTAGCACAGGAGCTTCCAGCAATGCCAGCTTAACCCCTCCTCCAAGGTCACTCTTCCAAGCTTGGAGAAGTGATAAGCATGGTTCTTTCTGCATCCACTGTAAGGCAGGATGGGGATGATGGAAGCACAGATCCCCAGCAATGGGGGTGGAGCTCTTCTGACCAGATCTGGGAATCTGATATATCTACCAAGCACAGAAGGGACTGCAGGTGGCGCAGTGGGTTAAACCGCTGTGCTGCTGGGCTGGTAGATCGAAAGGTCGCCGGTTCAAATTTGCACAACAGAGTGAGTTCCTGTTGCTCCATCCCAGCTCCTGCCAACCTTGCAGTTCGAAAGCATGCAAATGCAAGTAGATAAAAAGGTACCACTTCAGTGGGCAGGTAACAGCGTTCCGTGCACCTTGGTGTTTAGTCATGCCGGCCACATGACCACGGAGACTGTCTGTGGACAAATGCTGGCTCCCTCGGCTAGGAAACGGAGATAAGCACCGCCCCCTAGAGTCAGGCATGACTGGACGTAATGTCAAGGGGAAACCTTTACCTTTACCAAGTACAGAATCTGACTGATGTATCTACCAAGTACAGCTCAGCTGTTTGTAATCCTAAACAAGGGTACATACTTCTCATTAATCATGCATAGGATTGTACTAAAAATGTCCTTCATCTTAGCCACCCTGGGTATCCAAAGCTGCAATCCCATGTAGTTACCTGCCAATAAATCCCATAAAATTCACTGGGGCTTACTTGTGAGTAGACTTGCACAGGATTGTATGGTTAGTGGCCAGAAAGGTGGAACTGAAATGTTTCCAATATATAACGGGATGACGTGCAGTCAAAAACAGATTTGGGGAAGTCCTACAGACAACCCTGATGTCTTCTGGGAAGCTCAGAAATGGAGACTGCAACCCATTCGATTTATTTCTACAAGAATCCTCACCAGTCTCACAGAGGAAGACTATGCTTCCCAAAAGAGGTGCCCTCCCAGTCTTTTGGAGTCCTCTAAAAAGCAGAGTAACAGCCCAAAACCAGCAAACAGATGCACATTTGCATTTTCTATAGAGATGGATGAATCCGTCTTTTTTCTGGTGCACAAAGAATTCAGAACTCTCCTTTCCTGCTGGTTCACGGGTGGGAAACAGGCAGTGCCTGCTACCTCCCTGTTCCCAGTTCAGCCTCTGTCACTGGAAATAATTCAGTGGCTGCCTAAGAGGTCTGGAGTGCTAAGCAGGCCAAGTTCTGCTTTTCTGAAGCTAAATTTAACCTGTATCACATTCTATATCGGGCTCCAAAACAAGCTAATTTGGCCCGTTTTGACTTCCTGGTGCTCATGCAGCCATTAAACACACACACACACACACATGCACGCACACACACGCACACACATGCAGTAACCCCTACCATGGTCCCAAGAGTGTGGGAATCCAGGTGAGGTGGGGCAAAAATGACTGGTGTAGCCCTTAAAATTGCCCGTCTCAGCCCTGGGAGCACAGGTTTCTTCATATCCGTGTGGCGTTCTAGCTCTCAGTCAAATCAGTCTTCCACTTCCCCTAGCACAGCTGTTCTGAGTTTCAGCTCTCCATCACTGGACTTTCCCTGTCTAAACTTTTTATGTTATTGCCCTGCAGTCCATGACTCACATCAGCTGAGCAAGCGGCAAAGGAAGAGGTGGAAGTTGGGGGAGAGGAAGGCGCCCGCCTGCGTGGACATGGGGAAACATCCGTCACGTGTGCCAACGGTCCACAGAGAACAGTGCTGACCTGTCATCGTAGGGCACGATGCCCTTCCCGTCGATTTTGCGCGATGGCGTCACTGAGAGGATGCTCAGGTCCTGCAGCTCAGCCAAGAAGTGCCGCTCTGTGGTTGGGGAAAGGGACAGTGGAGGAAAAGCAATAGAGACACTGAGCATCACAGCCCACAGAGGCCTATGTCGCATTTCACAGCCTCCTCACCGCTTCCCGGGGTTGACAGCATCACAGCCCGGACCCACCATGTCCACCGAGATGCGACTCCCCGATTCCAGCGAGGTTTTGTCCCAAAGAGGCACACACAGCCTCGGGTGGTGTAAGGAAAGGCAACCTGATGCCCACCTAGTGCTTTGGACTACAGTTCCCATTAGCCCTGGCCAGCACAGCCAGGGATGAAGGGAGCTGCAGTGAGTGTTGGTTGACACAGGAGAGCTTGTTTCAAATCCCAGCTCAGCCATGAAGCTCATCACTCTCAGTCTATCCTACCTTGCAGGGTTGCAAGGAAGATGAAATGAGGAAGTGGGAGAGAGGCAAGGCTATGCGAGGGGTCTTCAAAAAGTTTCTGCACTTTAAATTTAATTATATTTTATAAATATATTATATTTATAAATATTGCTGATGGCATTAAAACGTTGGTATGATGCTGAGAAAAATGCATCACAAAGGAAGGTGCTTATGTAGGAAACTGATGTAATTTGTTAATTTGTTTTTGAAATTCAATAAACAGTTTTTAAAAGTGCAGAAACATTTTGAAGACCCCTCAAAGAAGTAATTAAAAAATAGGGGGATACTATGTTCTGACTAATCCAGGTTTCCCCAACCTGGTGCCCTCTGGATGATGATGAATTTGTACCGTACCCTTTTTCTTGCAAAGCCAATTATATAATCTTCCTCTCCCCTTTATCCTAACAATAACCCTGTGCTGTGAGGTTGGAATGAAAGTCTGTAATGGCTGAAAGTCACCTACTGAGCATGATGGCTGAGTGGGGACTAGAACTCGATCACTCAAGTCCTGGTTCAGTACTCTAACCACTAGACCACACTGGCTCTTAACGGCAGTCATTAGCTGGACAGAAGGGATGTGTAGCTGAAGCTATCTAGAAGGCACCAAGGAAGGTCAATCAGATGGCAGATTTCTTAGCAATGCTTAATTAATTTTGCATTATTAATTTATACAGTCCCTCCTCTGCAGCAAGGGAGCGTGTAGTGCCGTCCTTAAAAAAGGCAGGAATGTCTCCCTTAAAATACATTTTCTTGGTTTCCTTCATGGGCAAATAGATCCAGATGTAAACTCAATTAAAAACATTCTGATGACCGAACAGGTGGGAGCCCATCCCCCCTCTGACCTCTCACATTGGAGTCTTCTTCCATCCGATATGCAGGTACCAAGACGGTCACTTCCCGGTGACCACGATCCCAGAAATACTGCACAGCCAGAGCGATGCCCCGGCATGAGAAAAACTGGTTCAGCCCATGCCTGCAAAGACAGCAGGAGGTAGTCCGAGGTTCAAGGCACAGCTTAAATCTAAGAGAGCTGCACTGGATCAGACCCAGGATCCAGCTCATCCAGCATCCTGATCACCCAGTGACTGGCACACAACCCTGCAAGAGGACAGGATTACAACCGCACCCTCCCACCCATGTTCCCCAGCATGGAATCTTGGGGGAATCCCTTGGGTCACCCGAGTAACAGTAGCACAGGTAAACAGGAAACCCAGCAGAAAAATTCTCAATAAAGAAGTCAAAGGAGTTGGCGCTACTGTGACGGCCCTTCCTTTATCAGGCACTTGGCAGAATTCCTAGAAGGAGATTAGCAGCAACATAATCTACGTGATACTGAATCAAGTAGCAAACTGACAGAGCTGTTCACACCTTCAGAACCTTTATAACCAGTTGGTTGAGGGAGGTGGCTAGAAGGTAAATCTCCTTGAACTGGGAGTGCCCTCTGAGAAGCACCAGAACTTCTTCTGGTGTAGCTTAAGGGAGGAGCAGTATGAAACCAGCTGCCCTAAACGTAACAACCAAGGTCCACAGAAGGAAGACCTACCAAGCCGCTCCACCCAAATCCATACTCACATCATGGCCACATTGCTCCCATCAATAATGACCATGCGGAGGTTCTTTTTCCCCGGGGTATTGGCCAGGTTGAGCTTGAACTGGGTCTGGAGAGCCTCTTCAAACCGCTGGGCTCCAGTTACTGTAGAAACAGCCCCTTGGTGGGGGGGTCCAAGACTGGTCCCCTCGGCCAACTGGGTGCCCTCAGATTCTGATGGGGTGAACAGATTAGCCCCAGAAGGACTGGTGGGGAACGCAGAACTCTCTTGGTGGATCGGTGATACACGGGTGGCCTCTTGGAAAGGTGACCTGTTCTTCTGCCCTCTCTCATGAGAAGGGCTCCTCTGAGAAGTCGCCTCTCGATTCAAGATGGCTGCCCTCTGGACACCAAACTGCCTTCCACGTTCCGTTCTTGCCACGGGGGGCCCTGTTGCACCCTGTCCCTCGGCCTGGTGTTCCCCTCTCTCATTAAGTCGCCTCAGCAAACCCTCCAATGGCGCATCTGTGGGTATTTCTGTAGGGATCTCACTGGGCGAGTGGCCACAGTTGGCCATGGCCTCTTTGATGAGTTCCCTGAGGTAATCCTTTTCATCTCCACTCTGCCCCAGCTCACCTCCCCCGGGCTCCTTCGGGGGAAGGACAAGGTCCTCTTTCTGGGACAGCCCTGCTTCTGCCATCTGGACCCTGTCCAAGATAGTTGATGGGGCCTCCCTCACCCCACCCTCCAAGAGTATCTGCTTGACCACCTGCTCTTCATAACCCATAGTTTTAAAGAAGTTCAGCCTCATTTTGAACTCCTTCTCTGTCCACGAGGACAGCAGAACGTCAGATAATGGCTCCTCCTCACTGGTTTCTTCAGGTAAACTAACAGTATTTGATTCCTTAGTGCAAACCATTGTCGTGCCTTCCCTTGGACAGTCCTCCAAAGACTCTCTTAGGTCTGCGTAACCAGGGAGAATCGGAGTTGTATGGATGGCTTGTAAAGCTGGAACGGGATTGGGAAAACTCTTCGGAAGGACTGACTCCGGGACACTTGCTGCCTCAGGCCAGCCCTGGGGGAAATTCAAGCCAGACGGGAAGTCCTGGGGCTTGCTGTGCGTTTCAGTCCCAGCAGAGACTCTGGGAAAGTCCACTCTTGGCGCCTGAGGTGGAGCTTGGTCTTCAAGCCTACCAGCCATGACAGACAAGCTGGCCCTAATATCCTGAGGCATTACGGAGTACTGCGACTGCAGAGCATCCTGGGACTTCGCAAAGCCCGAAGAGGGCAAGTCAGCATTAGAGTCTCTGGTTTTGCTTTGTTCTTGAATCCTGCTGGACCCTGTTGACATGCCGAAGGGATTTGGAGGCCCAGTTGGAGACTGAGGCCTGCCACCTCCCACAGTGACAGTTTCCCACTCCAGTGAACAACCTTGCCCAAAGCCTTGTGGCCCCCAACACCCACTCCGTTGACTTTGCTCCTGGATTTCGTCCTGAGCCTCCTTCACCAAGCTGAGCAATTCCTCCTTGACTGAGGTGGGAAGAATCAAGAGGTCCATAGCATGTTTATCATCGTGGGCCTCCACCAGTTCCCGGAAGTCCCGCTTCACCTGGGCCTCCCGTTCCTCTGGCAACTTGGGGTTCTTCTGGTGTTTCTCCACAAACTCCTGTATCCGGCTTTGAGCCATGACGAAGGCTTCAGCCAGGCCTGAGATCGCCAAGGTGCCTGGGCGAAGAAAGGTCAAGTGGGCAGATGTCCCTTGGATGAGGCAGTCCAGGAATAAGCCATGAGCTCCCAAAAAGATACACTGCATGTCTTTGGGGTAGTAAACCTCCTCATTCATCTCCGGGGCACAGAGACCTTTGATGTATTCCTGGAAAACACAGAATACCAGCATGGGATGCCACATTCACACAGAGCGACGGCAAAGCATTTTTCACAGGATAACGTCTGTGCCAAATTTCCCACCGGTTCATTTTTCCATGCATAATTTCCCATTCTGAAATGGAAATTAGTATTCTTTCCTAATACTAATTATAGCCATTACAGAATAACCGGACACAATTCTGGCCAAATTCAGCCCATCTCAATGTTGTAATTGATTTATTTCGTAGGCGAGTCTCCCCAGGATGACTCCAGGAATGTAAGACAAAATGTAAGCCGCTTAGAGATTCCTGCTGGAATCGCGAGCAGCATGCAAGTATATAAATTTACTTGCATATATAAATTTGCAAGCATATAAATGTACTTATTCATAAGTAACTATAGGTGCAGTCCTACTGGGATACCTGCAATCCCCTGAAATGGGGGCTTGTGGATATCCAAGGCAGTGCAAAGATTTTCATTTAGCAACCATGGCACCAAGCGACGGTCACCTTAGCTGTCGACCAGCGACTGGCTGAGCCCAGTCGCCCAGTTTGGCTCTGTAGCTGCTTGGAGGCAGCAGCACCCAATGCAGGAAGCACTCTCTGCTTGGTCTACTTTAGAGTAGGCCAAGCAGTGAATAGGTGAGCAGCTCCCTTCAGGTGCCACCCATGAGCAGCTGCAGCACAGGATGGGAGGAGCACAAACAGTGGCAGGAAGTAGGAATACCTCAGTGGACCCATGGGATACCTGAAGGGTGGACGAGGAAGGGGAGGCAGGAGACCTGATCATCTGTGGGGTGCTTGGTGGATGGAATCTCTGCAAATCTGCTCAGCATGTCAAAATGTCCTTACATATGTATAAAGTACCTCTGAGATACGTATGCAACTGCTTGGGGCATTGGGCTATTGGGAAAATTTGCAATATTTATACAGTACATTTAATATTATTTATTGATTTAATTTCTATACCGCCCAACAGCCGAAGACCACCCAACAGCCAAAGACTTCAACTCCAACAAAAAAAAAAACCAGAATCCGGGGCTCAAAAAAGTCTGTTTCAGAAAGCCTCAGATCTAAGTTAGTTTACTTCAGCTCAAACTGAGTTTAAGGAAATTACATGCATTCACAGATGGGCTGGATGCTTCTTCTAGCTTAGGCGTGCAGAATCTCAGGTTCAGGGGGCTGTTTTGGCCTGCCTGGGATCCCCACCAGGCCCTCAGAGGTTCTGCTATTCCCCCTTTTCCAGTTTTGATGATTTTTAAAAGATGGAACTGCATCTCCCATGGCATTTGTGCCTAGCATTTGAGCTGAAAACGCCAGCATTTTGGCTGTGCCCCTTTTGTTTTTCTGATGAAAAACGGACCACGAGAAACTCTCCAAAATAGAACACAACTCCCAAGCTGAAGATTATGGCAAATCAGAAGCCAAGGCATGGCAGTGACTCCAAATTCATTATTGGGTTTCAAGGGCTTTTCACGGAAGACTCGGGCGTGACTCCCATCTCCCAACCCTGCACGCTACCTTTGCCCTTTGCAGGTTCTCACGGCGCCCTTGGAGCTGCAGCCAGATTTTCCTCTCCCCCTGGAGGTCCCTACTCGGACTCTCTGCTGACCGCAGGACACCCAGGACATTCAGTTCCACCCTGAAGAGCTGCTCAATCCGGGGTCGGTGCTGCGTCACCATCCCCTGCACTTCTTCTGGCATGGCGAACTCATCCAGGGTCTTGCTGCTGCTTCCCATGGTGGAAAATCGCAGCCACTGGTTGGAGTGTCACAGTGTGGTTGATGCAGCTCGGCGGGTGGCTAACGGCCTGTGGGAGTTGATGGGAAAACACTGGCTGAAAATAACAGAAAAGCAACCTCTGGACGAGGTCTGAGCATTGAATGGGACGAGATGTGGCTTCTCAAACACTTATACCCAGAAGGTAAGGAGCAGGAGAAAGCAACTGGCAGAAAGCAGGTTAAGATTTGGTTATGCACGGCAGAAATCTTGGAGACAGAGAGCCAAAGGGGTTAGCATAAGAGGATATTGTCATCGAAGTCCCCCAAGGCTGCAAATGAACTATGATTCAGTGCGATAAGGAAAGAAAACACCCCATGTAGTGTCTTGAGAATCTCAGCATCCTTTTTTATGCTTATCTCTTTTGTAAATAATTTTGCATGTTTCTAGTCCTTATGGCTATAAAGGTATGTTTGAAAGTGCCTGAACAATGACTGAAGAAAACAAAGAGCCTGCTGGTTGAGATTTTCAGGAGTTATTTGTTTATGAGACTTGTATGCCCCCCATAGCCTGGGGGTTAAGGGCAGGGCTTCCACATCTTTGTGTGTGTGTGCGCGCACACACGCACACACACACACAGCAAAATGACCAGCACCAGAATATCTCTGGCAACAGGGTCACTCACATCCCCTCTCGCAACATGCAGAATTAGGCAATCATAATCCCCCAAATGAATCAGAAATTGTGCAACATCAGAAGAAAATTTCAGAGGCTTACATAATTGATTCAAGTGAGAAGATTCTACAGTTCTTGGTGCAGAATCTGATTTGGTTTTTCATGTGAGGCTAAAAAGATGAGAAAAAACCTTTCTTGCAAGAGGGACTAGCAAGGGAGCGTGCGGAGCCATACATGAGAGGGTCACTGCAGGAAGTACATGCAAAAGAAAGCACACCAGGCCCGCAGCCAGAAATTCTGTGGTACAGTTCAGGGTAAGAAAAGGGAGAAATTCAGTGCTGAATAGCCAAGGTATAAACACGAGCCACTTAGGAAGCTTCTTGAATTAAATGTTCAGAAAATTAAGATTCATTTTATAAAATGCAACAGTGCAAGCTCCGTACTTTGTCGGTTAACCCATGAAGTCGGTGGCCCAAATACCAGAATGTTGGATGAGGCTTTCTTTTAGTAGGTGACTGGGTGGAATGGGCCTTAGCATACCACCTTAGCATACCACCGCATAATCCCAAGGGTCACAGGCATGAGTATTTTAAAATAGAAGCTAAAAGTTTTAGGAAAATGGGCTCAGGAATCCCTGAGGAGCATGGCTAAATTTACATTTCAGGCCCCTTCCCTGAATGTTCAGCTTAAAAAAAAAAATAAGCCACTGGTCCTGGTGTTCACACTAATATAAGAGGAGGGGAAAATGTGCCAGTAATATTATACCCCAACCTTCTACTACTTTCTGTGAAACTGGAATATTAATCAATTTTGTGGGGCAGAGGTCAGGGCAAGTCATGCGCATTCTTGCACAGCCTAAATCACCTCCTCACAGGGTTGAAGTGAAGATAAATCTGTCCTGGGAAGGGAAAACTATCAGCTACTTGGCAGAACAAATAAAAATAAAATGGAGTTTTTAAAAAGTTTGCTTTGACAAAGACACAAGAAGTGGGAGAGAGTTTGAAAGACAGAGAGAGCATTGTTGTGGCATGATGGAAGTTTTAAGATGCAGCCTAATGCAGGTTCAGACAGAAAAGAGACTGACAATTCCTAGCATTCTGGGGAATTCTGGGAGTTATAGGCCTGCTTTCCATCTAAACATGCATAAGATGCACCCCACCTATGGAATGCACTCCCCAGAGAGGTCCGCCTGGCGCCGTCGTTATTTGTTTTTCGGCGCCAGGTTAAGATCTTTTTATTCCAGCAATATTTTAATAAGTTTTGATATTGTCTTTTCTATGTTTTTAACTGCAGCCAGTGTGGGTTGGGAATTTATTTATGTTATATTTTATGTAAGCCATCCTGAGGCTTTTGCGACAGGACGGCATATAAATATCTTTTTTTTAATAAATAAATAAGATCACACCATTCACACAGCAAAATGTTCCGCAGACTTTGAAATCAATTCATCTGATTACAAATGTCCAAACCAATTACGCAAGTATACCAGGGGAAATCGAACTGTAAACAGACTAAAGACTATGCAAAACAAGATATGACATTCTTTGTGCAAAGTTCAATCTATGCTGAAATGTTTCACACTAATCATTCTTTTCAAAAACACTTTACTGAAGCTTTCAGCAGAAAGAGGGCAAGTAAAACAGACAGACACAACTAAACAAGAAGCGCAAAGTGGAATCTAACAGCTTGTTGATCAGCCAGCAGATTTGTGGCCAAAAGAAGACGGGGAGAAGGCAGTTTGACAGCAAACCATGTCTTTCCAATCAAAGGGAGCCTCATGATAGAAGCACTGCCTGTGACATGCTGCTTCTGGCATCTCCTAGCCTTTGGTCAACAGTTTGCTTGTTTGTTTTCTTTTTCCAGCCTGATGGAGAACCACAAAGCTTGTGCACGTGGTATTTCGTGACATTCAGGTTGGCCCAATCAAGGTATTGCCCCAGTACAGATTTAAAAATTTCTGCGCATAAATATAAAACTGTGCTTTTGAGATGCACAGAAGTCTCCAAATGCAGAGGCTTATGTGAATCCAGTACATAAGATACTGTGTGCTGGCAATTTCCATTGTGGATGCAGTTTGCACTGAGTATTATTACATCAATTTTGGCAATCTAGATTAAGCGCTGGACAGGGTAGAAGTTCCGGGGTGCCAGTGAGAATGGGTGGAAACCAGCAATGCCAGCCTACTCCCTTCTCCTGAGATTTTGGAGTGCAACTCCCAGCCTTTCCAATCATTGACCCTGAGGGCTTCAATAACTATTTCTACTGCTTAAAATTCATATGAATCCTTCCAACATAGGTTTGAACTTTGTACACAAACGTCACTTGTGCTTTGGAAGCCCAGGTGCGCATTCCCAGCTGCTTTTTCGTCAGCAAACCCTCCCACAACTCCACCAGCCTTCCCAGCACCCATGGGTGCACACTTTAAAAATTCAGGTGGAAATGCAGATGTGGGACAATGTCCCGGCTGCACTGCAACTTCACCGGGAGGCGGGAGGGGGGAAGCCGGCCGCCCCAAATCTCGTCCCAATTCCTCGCGAACAGAATATACATTCTTCTAGTGACTCGCGCCCTGTCCCCAAATCATCCCAGAGTGGTGACTCTTTTCTGTTCCTCCCCCTCCCTTTTTTGATGTTCCAGTTTAGCTACCAAGCAAGAGAAGACGGTTTGGGACGGGGGCTGCGACATGTGGGGAGACTTAACCCTTTCCTCCCCAGGTGCGATCCCCCCCCCGGAAAGCGCCCTTCGCCACGCACGGCCATGCAGCCAAGTGACTCCCCGCATCAGCACGGGAGGGACCCCGAGGGCTCTGGGGAGGCGATCCGGCGCCCTAGAAAAGAGGACGGGGGTACAGCCGACCTGGCAAAGCCCCCCACGGGGGTCCCCGTCTAGGCGCGTCCTCTCCCCCCCTCCACCACTACCCCCAGCCAGCCAGCCACCCACCCCGCGGCAGGTCTGCGGCCGCCTTCCCTACCCACGGGAGTCAGCGAGGGAACCGCAGCGGCTCCGGGCAGGCAGGTTCCGCCGTCCCTTCCCATCGGTGCCTCGGCGCCGGGGCTCTGCTTCCATTTCTTTTGAAAAATAATATTTATGAACAGTATGCTTGTTCAACAAATGCCGGAGCGCGTCTGCATTCAAGGCGCAGCTTCCATCTTGGAGCAACGCGGAAGCGCCCGCCGACTCTCCCGGCCTGGGCGGCGCGTCTCGGGGAAGGAAGGCGGCGAGGCGCTTTCACTTCGCAGCTTCCTGCCAAGATCGGGCTCAGCGCTCGCCCCCGTCCGATCCAGCAGGGGGTCCGACGAGAGACGCCGTGTTCTGAGCATGGACAGAGTGCCGCGTGGCGCAGCAAACGTTGGACGCCGGGTTTTTGTTTTGCTCTGCTTTTTGGCGTGGGTGGGTGTGTTTTAGAAGGGCCTAAGGGTTGCACGTAGTCTCTGGCCATATGCAGAGTGCCTGTTGTGGGAACATCTCAGACGAAAAGGGAAGGGGAATGATTACCTGATGTGTGCGTGTTTGGTGTTTATGTTTTGCTTTGGGGGTTGTTCTAATTTTGCATTCTTTCCTTTTGGTTTTGGGGGTGCTCTCCAGCTAGACTTCTGGAAAACCGCTCCACCTTATTTCCCTTGAAGGGGCAGGTTCAAACAGGAAGATTCACCCGTGAGTCATCACACAGACCACACTTCCTCAACCTAACCATGCCCAGGTATCTTTGACTGCAATTCCCATCAGTCCCAGCCCTTGCATCTGATGTTCAGGGATGTTCAGACTTATCGCTGTTGTAGTCAAAAAAATCTGGAGCATTATAAGCAACCTGCAACAAGCAAAAGCAGAAATAGGATAACCAAAAATTCCTTGCGGCCAAGAAATTAAAAGACGCTTGCTCCTGGGGAAGAAAGCTATGGCAAATCTAGACATACTAAAAAGCAGAGACATCACCCAGCCGACAAAAGTTCATATAGTCAAAGCTGTGGTTTTCCCAGTTGCAATGTATGGCTGTGAAAGCTGGACCATAAGGAAGACTGAGCACCGAAGAAATGAGGCCTTTGAATTGTGGTGCTGGAGGAGACTCCTGCAAGTCCCTTGGACCGCAAGGCAATCAAACCGGTCAGTCCTAGAGGAGATCAACCCTGACTGCTCTTTAGAAGGCCAGATCCTGAAGATGAAACTCAAATGCTTTGGCCACCTAATGAGAAGGAAGGACTCACTGGAGAAGAGCCTAATGCTGGGAACAATTGAAGGCAAAAGAAGAAGGGGACGGCAGAGGTTGACACTGGTGTGGTGGGCACGGGGTTTTGTGAACTCCAGGACACAATGAAGAACAGGAGAGCCTCAAGGAATGTTGTCCATGAGGTCACAGTGAGTTGGGCACAACTTTGTGACTGAACAAGATAAGCAAAATTCAGAATAGGTTTTTCAGGCATCCAAGCTTATTTCATCTTCTGTTTAGGGAACACATAAGTGCTTTCCCCACCACCGTGGGAGCCAAGAACTGTGGGAGCCATACCACCCTGCCGTGGGGCAGGGTGGTGTGGGATCCTGGAGCAAGTACTCCCTCACGGGCCCTTAGCGGCTGACACATGCTTCCCTGGGATACCCACCTGCCATTTCCAGTTTCCCACAATGCTTGGCAGCATATACATGACAAGGCACAGTGAGACATTTTTTAGCTCCCAGATGGCTACAGTGATGTGTGTGTTTAGTTATCAGACATTTAGTCTCAACTCTGCAATAAAACGTGAAAACTGAGGTTTTAGTTCACAAAAAATAACTCACAGCCAGGCCAAGCAAATATATATATTTGAAATGTGTGTGTGTGTGTGTGTGTGTGTGTGTGTGTGTGTGTGTGTATTGATTTTGAAAAAGCCTTCCTTGAGTAGTTTTTCTGCACAGCTCATCATTTCTTCCCATTCTAAACACATTCCAACCATCAAAACCATGCCAGGACACCTCGTTTTTCTAACCCTAACCCTACCCTGGTGCACATGCCTAGCCCTAATATAGGGCTAAAGTTCCATAGAAAAGAGGGCGATTTTGAAAAAGCCTTCCTTGAGTAGCTTTTTCTGCACAGCTCACCATTTCTGCCCATTGTAAACACATTCCAAGCAGCAAAAACATGCCAGGGCACCTCATTTTCCTAACCCTAACCCTACCCTGGTGCACACCCCTAACCCTAATATAGGGCTAAAATACCCGTGAAAAGGGAGGGATTTTGAAAAAGCCTTCCTTGAGTAGCTTTTTCTGCACAGCTCACCATTTCTGCCCATTCTAAACGCATTCCAAGCATCAAAATAATGCCAGGGCACCTCATTTTCCTAACCCTATCCCTACCCTGGTGCACACCCCTGACCCTAATATAGGGCTAAAATACCCTTGAAAAGGGGGGATTTTGAAAAAGCCTTCCTTGAGTAGCTTTTTCTGCACAGGTCACCATTTCTGCCCATTCTAAACACATTCCAAGCATCAGAATCCTACCGGGGCACCTTGTTTTCCTAACCCCAACCCAGTGGTTTTGAACCTTTTAGAGACTGAGTGCCCAAACTGCAACCCAAAACTCATTTATCACAGAATGCCAACACTGCAATCAAACCTGAAAACAGCTGGTCCAATCAAATACGAGTATCCTTGGCAGCGCACTGACCAGCTATGCAAAAGCTTGGGCTAATGTGTTGCTCCCTGTTATGTCATTGCCTGGCGCCATTATTCCTTTCTGAGCATACGTATGGCCCCTATGTGTGGTGTTATCCGATGCTCGGCTGCTGGGACGATGTTGGGGTGACTTATCTCATGTGCCGACAGAGAGGGCTCTGCATGCCCACTGTGGTATGTGTGTCATAGATTTTCTACCATGGATGTAGGGTATGAAATGGCAGGAAGACAATAATAAAATAGTGCTAAATAAAATCCAATCACTCTGCAGCGCTGTTGGGAAGTGGATATCATGGAAGACTGCCACCCATGCAGTCACCACCAGTCGGAGATGACTTGATGGCACATTTGAACAACAAATAAAACCACCTAGTGTAAAATTACTCAGAAGGAGTAAGTTAAAGTGCCAATAAGAAATAATCCAGAGAGATGTACCCGTTCTTAAAATGCCTTGGGAAATAAAAGGCACATTGCCTGGAACCAAAAGGCTACAAGGTAGGGATCAGGCGAACTTCTCTGTGGAGAGCATATCACCGAAGGGGGCCATCACTTGAAAGACCCTGTCTCTTGGGACCATCTGCTTCATCTCATTTGGTGGAGCGAGCTGAAGAGTGGCCTCGGATTATGGCCCTATGTTCTGGGTAGGAGATGATCCTTTGCAACTGTTGTGTGTCCAGCATGCTGCTTTTCACTATTGTTGCTGCATTAAACTTTCCATGGTGGGCCCAGGAAATCTACATAGATTTCTATATAGAAACCATCTACACAGAAACCAACCTGCGGTTTGCCCTGCCTCTCTACTGAACATGACACACCCCGGCCCTCTTTCCAGGGTCTTGAAGAGCAGACATCTGGCCCAGGGCAGAAAGAAAAGGACCAAGCAGAAGGCACCTAGGCCTATCCCCCTATCCAGTTGAAACCCTTTTCAGAGGACTCCATCCCATCTCCCTCTCGCTGCTTTCCTTCCCAGCCTCACAGCTGTCATTTGGCATTCCATGGACACTGCAAACATCCATTCCCAATGTTTTGGGGGTTCACCATACAACCACCTCAGGATTTTCCCTTTGAGGTCCGTTGTATTTTGGCCAATCTCCAGACTCCCCCAAAAGTGCAAAGATGTTATGTCTTGTGCAAAGGTATATAAACAATGGCACTACTGCTGAACACCTGAAATATAAGAGAAGATTCTTTACAAGGGTGGAACTGAAGTGTTGCTGCTTGAGAAGCAGTTGGGAGGAGGGAAAGATCGTTCACTTTGTGACTTTCTTCTCCCTCTTGCCATGCACCTGTACTTATCGGCATCTCCCGTTCCCCTAGAGCAGGAGCAGAGCTGGGTAATTCCAGATTGCGAAATACCTGGGCCCTGAGACAGGTGGAGCTCCAGCCATTGTTGGTTGTAAGACTTTTCCTTTCCTTTTCTTGTATTTTCAGATTCAGGGAAATGAAATTCTGATGTGCTGTGGGTTGGCTGGGCAACCGCCCCCACACCTTGGTTTGGAACACCAGTTCCAGTTTTCAAGGCAGGCTTATGCTTTATCCTCCTTTGCAAAGTAAAGGGTGTTGCCTTTTAAACAAGACAAGACAGGAAAAAAGAAGAAAAAAATAAGTTGGCTATTTTCTGCCTTTCAGCCATGCATATAGAATTCAAGGGCAGATTCTCCAGCCTGGATTGAGGGAGCACTCCAACTCCCAGCATCCCTAGCCAAGGGTCCCTGTCAGTGTCTCAGCCCCCATTCTGTGTGATGAACTGACAAAATACCTAGGCAGGAATTCAGCTTTGAGCTAGGTCAAAGCCCCAGAACCTATTTTTTTTAGCATCTGACGGAGTGGGGGCGGTGTTTCAGTCCTGAGACAGATGAAGCAAGAATGACATTCAGAAGTACCTTCAAACATGGGCAGAGTACCTTGCCCTGATCTCACAGTAATCTCCATCTGCCCCCACAAGGATTTCCAAAGTCATTCCTTCTGTCTGGAAGGCATTACCATCTAGAGGCAGGGGGACTGGTTGCGACTACCTCAACAGCCAGCCAAAAGTACCTTGCGCATGTGCAGAATGGCTAACATTCTTGTTTCCAGGTGTTGCCGAGAGGACTTCTGGTATCCACTAACAGGTTTGGGGGCCAAACCAGCACCATTGAAGCATACTCGCACTGCAGCATACATGAGTCCCAGTGGAACCCCACATGCTGTTATCCTGTCCCTAGTTCTGCCCCTTTGTCCGTTCGTTCCTCTTCCTATTTCTGAGTTTTTCCATGCCCAACTTGTGACCATAATGCATTCTGTTAACTGAGCAGAGGTACAATTCTATGTATATTTTGACAAAAAATACCCTCCAGCTCCTAGCATTTCTATACTGGAAAGTGGAGGATTTTTTCCATCGAAATACACTTTAGATTGAGCCCCAGAAGTAGGAACCACAAAATTCAACCCAGCATTTTGGCTCTTACCTTCAACCACAGAAAATACCAGACTGTGCAAAGAGCAGGCAGGGACTATTCAGGTGAAATGCATGGAGCACAATTAACCACATCTCTTCATCAAGAGGTGCACTGTGTTGAAACCGATGTAGCTCGTTTCGTTTTCCTTTTCCTGTCAAGAGCTGCTTACCATTTCACAAACGCCTGGTGGATTTCACAAAT